AATTAAAAATCAGCTGGGTCCGAATAAAGAAATTTATCAACCAGTAAAGGTCCGGAGACATTTTTAATTATAATCCGTTACTTTAAACAGAATTTTGTTGAGTTTTTACGGCACTAGTGGCCTGTTTTATGGACAGTAGGCTGACAGGAAAGGGGGGGTATGAGAGAGGGAGGGAGACATGCGGGAAAGGACCACAGGCTGGATTCTAACCCAGGTCACCCGCGTTGAGGACTAACCCGAAATCCCACATCCTGTGTCTCCGCCCTGCAGCGCTCCAGACCGCCTGCGCAAAGCAAGGCCTATAGCCTCCACTGTTCCTCCCGTCTTGCTCCTCTCCGACTTCCTCAGTATGAGGAGCGTATGCGTGATATTGTTACATTCAAAGCAGCAAAACATGCGGAAATGAACCAGGGTTTCGGCGGATCATTACAAATCATTAAACTATTATTTTTTAAATTAAGGCCTTAATTGGCACTAATTAAATGTGATTATCGTGGCATTTGAAATGCTTTATTTAAAAAAAAATAAAAATAAAAAGTTTATGAAAATATTTTTGTCAGATACACTATATTGCCAAAAGTATTTGCTCACCCATCCAAATTATTGGAATCAGGTGTTCCAATCACTTCCATGGCCACAGGTGTATAAATTCAAGCACCTAGGCATGCAGACTGTTTTTACAAACATTTGTGAAAGAATGGGTCGCTCTCAGGAGCTCAGTGAATTCCAGCGTGGAACTGTGATAGGATGCCACCTGTGCAACAAATCCAGTCGTGAAATTTCCTCGCTCCTAAATATTCCACAGTCAACTGTCAGCTGTATTATAAGAAAATGGAAGTGTTTGGGAACGACAGCAACTCAGCCACGAAGTGGTAGGCCACGTAAACTGACGGAGCGGGGTCAGCGGATGCTGACGCGCATAGTGCGAAGAGGTCGCCAACTTTCTGCAGAGTCAATCACTACAGACCTCCAAACTTCATGTGGCCTTCAGATTAGCTCAAGAACAGTGCGCAGAGAGCTTCATGGAATGGGTTTCCATGGTCGAGCAGCTGCATCCAAGCCATACATCACCAAGTGCAATGCAAAGCGTCGGATGCGGTGGTGTAAAGCACGCCGCCACTGGACTCTAGAGCAGTGGAGACGCGTTCTCTGGAGTGACGAATCGCGCTTCTCCATCTGGCAATCTGATGGACGGGTCTGGGTTTGGCGGTTGCCAGGAGAACGGTACTTGTCTGACTGCATTGTGCCAAGTGTAAAGTTTGTTGGAGGGGGGATTATGGTGTGGGGTTGTTTTTCAGGAGCTGGGCTTGGCCCCTTAGTTCCAGTGAAAGGAACTCTGAATGCTTCAGCATACCAAGACATTTTGGACAATTCCATGCTCCCAACTTTGTGGGAACAGTTTGGAGCTGGCCCCTTCCTCTTCCAACATGACTGTGCACCAGTGCACAAAGCAAGGTCCATAAAGACATGGATGACAGAGTCTGGTGTGGATGAACTTGACTGGCCTGCACAGAGTCCTGACCTCAACCCGATAGAACACCTTTGGGATGAATTAGAGCGGAGACTGAGAGCCAGGCCTTCTCGTCCAACATCAGTGTGCGACCTCACAAATGCGCTTCTGGAAGAATGGTCAAAAATTCCCATAAACACACTCCTAAACCTTGTGGACAGCCTTCCCAGAAGAGTTGAAGCTGTTCTAGCTGCAAAGGGTGGACCGACGTCATATTGAACCCTATGGATTAGGAACGGGATGTCACTTAAGCTCATATGTGAGTCAAGGCAGGTGAGCAAATACTTTTGGCAATATAGTGTATATCGCAATTAATTTGGGTGGAACTGCTTGCAGTTGATCGTAAAGCAGTTGTTTGGAAAAGAAGCTTGAGGCGGAGAAAAAACAAGAGAATGGGGAAAATGCAAATCTCAACAAAAGTGACTGGAAAACGAGGAATTTGGGACATGGCTGCAGCCGGTCAATGGTAAAGATGATGGATTTTGTCGTGTTATTTTTATGTGTATATATATATATATATATATATATATATATATATATATATATATATATATATATATATATACACAAACAAGAGTCATGAAACTGTGCGTACAGCTCCTTCATATTTCATGTACACTGATAACTGGGGATATCTAGGATCCTCCATGGTTTGTATGAACTATGTTTGTTCTCTACTTCCAACTCAGCATCTCTTCATCCAGGTCTGAAATAAGAAGTTTCTTTTGAAATTGTGAGAGGCACAAGTTTTGAATGGATTTGATAAAACTTTTAACCCTCTCGGTATAAAATAAATAATTTGAGGGAGATGAGAAATCTGCTTCCTGGTCTGTTGAAGTACCAATAGTTTGCATCCAATCATTTAATTAAACGCTTTTTGGGAATGTATAAGAATCTTTCTCTAATTTGTAGTTACCAATCCGTCGTTAATATATTTTAATTTGACAAACCAGATGTTCTCGTCGTTGTTTTTCCTGTTAGGTGCGATTGCAATTGCGGATCTTGACCTAACCAGAGCGGAGCAAAAAATAGCTCTGCTCCTTATTGTGAGGGACCGAGAAGACGCATGTGGACGGTGACGTGCAAAGGATTAGCGGTGGATGCTCTCATTGATTTACATGAAAGACAAGTACTCCGCACGATGTAAATGGCATATGGCATGTACTTATATAGCGCCTTTATTCAAGTTAGGAGACTTGACCAAGGCGCTTTACACTACATTCATTCACCCATTCACGCACACTGATAGTGGCAAGCTACATTGTAGCCACAGCTGCCCTGGGGCTCACTGACAGAAGCGGGGCTGCCGTACACTGGCGCCACCGGGCCCTCTGACCACCATCAGTAGACAATGCAGGTGAATTGTCTTGCCCAAGGAAACAACGACACTGATAGTCAGAGTCGGGGCTTGAACCGGCAGAGCGCTGACGGAGTATGTGGAATCTGGGGGTAAGGCCTCCCTAGGTCGTGTGTGCTAACCACTGCGCCAAAGCAAGCCTCACTTTAAACAGAATTTAACACTGTATTAAATTTTATTTATCCATGTTATACGTTAAATAAAAAGAAATAAAAAAAATTCTATTTTAAAATCTAAAGTGTTTTTTGAAGTAGAGAACAATGGTTCAGTTTGGTATATAGACAATTTTACTTAATCACAAATTTTATAAAACACCTGAACTCTTTTTTGGCTTAATGAGAGCAGTGGACTTAAGTCTGCCATGCAAGGCTTTTAAAACTGGGTTCGATTGGCAACAAAGCCATTCTAAAGCACATCTCAAGGTACTCATTCGTGAGCCTGGATTGATATTTATTTTTGAATAAGGTCATGGTGGAAAACCTGCTTCACAGCAGCACTTTAAAGTAGGGCTGGGCAATAATTCAATAACTATATGTATCGATCGATAGACGTGTGGCGCAATAGAAAAAAGGGGGTTGATAAAAGTTCGATAAAGAAACACAGTTTTCCTTCATTCTCATTGTAGCCTATCATGTAGGTTGATGCTAGTCACTACTTTCTTCTAACCAATCACAATCGCGGACCCAGGCACGCCATCACAAAGCGCCGCCCTCGCAAATCACAACACGTACAGAGCAGATGAAGATGTCGCAGCAAGGAGAGGCGGATGAAATTGTTCCAAAGAAGGGTTTTTGTTGTTCGCCAGTCTGGCAGTATTTCGGTTATGGCAAGTCGGACAAAAAACAAACCACAGTCATCTGTAAAATGTGTAGGGAACCAGTGAAAACCAAGTCTGATAACACAACTAACTTTTTTTTTAATCATATCAGCCGCTCACACCCGCAGGAGTACGAGCTATGTAGGTCTGCATCGTTCTCCGAGGAATCTTCGGGAATTTCGGGAAAATATATATATATTTTCAATTCTGGGCAGTTTCCCATGTAGTTCTAACAATTGAGAGAAAAATGCTGAGGGGCCAGCAAATTCAAAGTAATAACTCAGGTTAAAGCAGGAAACTAAGCTCTAGAAGAATGAGGGTGAGAAAAAATACCCCATAGAAATGTTAGGCTAGAGGGTGAGTTGATTTTTGTTTGGGTTTTTGTTCTTGTTGAGTGGAGTTTGTTTACATGGTAGCCTAGTCCTACAATCTTTTAATTACCACAAGCTGGTGGTGTACTATTCCCACCCAAATAGGGTATTCTATTTATTTATTTGTTATATTTATTTTGGTCACTTTTCTGGTCATTTTAGTTTATTCTTTGTCAGCATTTAATAACATAACTCAGGTCTCTTAAGTTATTTTTCTTTAAAACAATTCTGTTATGGTTAAAGTTGGTTAAATAAAGATTTAATTGGAAGTCTGTTTTTGTGTTCTTTGTTAAAATTAAATCATTTAGCAATATTATAAAAAGTCCAGGCGGAGCTGCACATAAAATATGGTTTCAAATCTTTTCAATAATTATCGATATTGATCAATATGCATTTTTTTTTATCTATAAGCTTTTTTTCTATATCGTCCAGCCCTACTTTAAAGGATCTTCCAAAAGTCCAAATGATTTATCTTTAAAAACCATTGGGAAAAAGGATTACAAATGCTCCAACTCGTTAAAGAAATCTCTAATCAGCGTACCAAACAGTATAATAATCGTTTCCTGAATAACAATTAAAAGCATCTGCTTGATAATGATAAAATAATTAAAACAGCTTTTTCTCTTGTGCCACATTTAGAAAGGGTGTTTTTGTTTTGGCACACAGCTCTATCAAAAGCAGAACCAAACACTGTTACAGGAACAATTAGAAATGAGAACATGATGTTAACACTACCAAATGTTAAAATGAAACATGTAAACACATTACAGCAAATAGTTGCCTAGAAACCCCAGATGCACTCTGTTCTAGGGTTAAATGTATATTTTAATTAAAATGTTTCAATATTTACCTAAGTGAATAGTAAATCAGCAAAAGAGAAAATGCGAAACCAAACAAACAGCTGGATTGGTCAATTCTGGGAACTGAAATCCTATTAGGACTCACCACAAGCTTTGGCAGCAGCAATGCACAGTTCCTCTGCTACATAATCTCCAGGTGGAAATGTGAGGGTGTCTTCTGAACAGCTATGCCCTCCTTGAATCTTCCCCAGGTGGTAAAGGTGGACGGTTAAAGTCACGGCCTTTGTTTCCTGCTTGGCGTCGTGTTCAGTTGGTAAGTCTGGTTCTGAGAGGGGGCCACCATCAAGTGTTGTTGGACTGGAAGAGAGGGGGTCCATGTCTGTCAGCAGGATGAGGGCCATGTGCTCTTTACAGAAATTCTGTAACAAAGATAAAAAAGACAGAAATAAGCATTAGTGAACACACCTGTTTGAAAAGATGTATCTTTTAATTCAGTCATCAGCTTTTGGATCAGTCCATCACAACTCTGTTTATATACCTACTTTGAAGCAAAGATTAACGGGCAGCTTTGTGCAATCTATGCTGTTTATAATATAACAATCAGACATTCTGGTGCAATTGGAGAGCTGTTACTAAAGCTAGTTCTTAAGTATTCTGTAAAAACGATAAATATAAGCTTTGGTTTTAGCCTAATATTGACTGCTTGGTACATTTACAGTGGGGCAAAAAAGTATTTAGTCAGCCACCAATAGTGCAAGTTCTCCCACTTAAAAAGATGAGAGAGGCCGGTAATTATCATCATAGATATACCTCAACTATGAGAGACAAAATGAGAAAAAAAAATCCAGAAAATCACATTGTCTGATTTTTAAAGAATTTATTTGCAAAATATGGTGGAAAATAAGTATTTGGTCAATGACAAAAGTTAATCTCAATACTTTGTTATATACCCTTTGTTGGCAATGACAGAGATCAAACGTTTTCTGTAAGTCTTCACAAGGTTTTCACACACTGTTGCTGGTATTTTGGCCCATTCCTCCATGCAGATCTCCTCTAGAGCAGTGATGTTCTGGGGCTGTCGCTGGGCAACACGGACTTTCAACTCCCTCCAAAGATTTTCTATGGGGTTGAGATCTGGAGACTGGCTAGGCCACTCCAGGACCTTGAAATGCTTCTTACGAAGCCACTCCTTCGTTACCCGGGCGGTTTGTTTGGGATCACTGTCATGCTGAAAGACCCAGCCACGTTTCATCTTCAATGCCCTTGCTGATGGAAGGAGGTTTTCACTCAAAATTTGACGATACATGGCCCCATTCATTCTTTCCTTCACACGGATCAGTCGTCCTGGTCCCTTAGCAGAAAAAAAGCCCCAAAGCATGATGTTTCCACCCCCATGCTTCACTGTAGGTATGGTGTTCTTTGGATGCAACTCAGCATTCTCTCTCCTCCAAACACGACGAGTAGAGTTTTTACCAAAAAGTTCTATTTTGGTTTCATCTGACCATATGATATTCTCCAAGTCATCGTCTGGATCATCCAAATGCTCTCTAGCAAACTTGAGACGGGCCTTGACATGTACTGGGTTAAGCAGGGGGACACGTTGCTAGTTGCTGTGCATTTCATTTACATTTGAATGTAAGATTGATTCGCTATGCAATAGTTGCAATTTGTCACCTAGTCCTGCCCCCTAAGGGTCTCTAGCTTATGCTTTTACATGGGGGTGACTTACACTTAAAAATGTGTTAAATATTACATCCATCTGCAGAATAACTAAAAAATTTGAAACGCCTATTTTCAAGAACTTTTAAATCATGACAAGCAGAATATACATTTGCTAAGCTTGGTTTTAAGATCAGGAACAGCTAAACACCTACCATTTAGGATATTATGGTTTTATAGGTGTGAAAGATGCCACAGGATGTTTTAATTTTTTTTGGGAAATATGCTATTTGAAGTTCAAGGAAAAGGGCATCGTATATACACAAGGCTCCTACTGGGAATGTCTGAAGGAGGTTGGCTCGCTTCTTTGACTTTGAATATGGTGTAATCGAATAGACAGCCATCAAACTGCATCAGCCATATAGTTACATTTTTGGCTTTCTTGGTGAGTGCAAGCGGTATTCTTCAACAAGTAGCTCATGCTAAGTTAGCTGACTAATATTTAGGCCACCAGTAGTTTCCAAAGGCTGCAGGTTCACCAAGGACACATCTTTAAAAATCTTATGTCTACATAAAGCCATCCATCTGCTTTTACTATATTTGGTGCTATTTGGTCATTGAAATGTTCCGACTTTACTTTCAATGTGTTAAGAGGCAGATAAAAGACATTAAATTCCTGATAGTAGAATAGAAGAAGAATAGAAGGCGAACACTGCTTTGGAAGCTTGAGAGTAGAAAATAATTAGCTCTTCTAAGGCTTTGCTATTAAAACTATTTTGAGTTATTTGGTTTAAACAAAGCAGGTCAAAATGAAACCAACTCTGCACTAATAAAGCACATCAGTAGTCTCTATGAGCCATCCTTAAAAGAATTAGGCTATTTGTCCAAGCCCACCCAAGATAAGATGCCAAGATACACAATTAGTGGTGATATAAAAAGCAGTCCAACTTACATCAACATTTAAAACAAAATTAAATCAGTCAAAGAAGATAGTGAGTAGCAAAACCGAACATGTTTATGTTAAGATTAAATCTACATAAAAGGTAGAATACAAAAGCAAATGTTGTAAACCTTCAAAAGCACCGCAACAGGGAAGAGGAAAGGGATGTTGCTCAAGTGTCTGTGGTGGGATGGAATGAGCTGCCCAGAATTCAGACCGCCTCATGAAAGATGCTTTGAACAATATTAGAAACAAAACTTCAGGGATGCTTCAGATCTAGTAATCCAAAAATACAAAACAGATGTTTCTATGCACAGTTTCAAACTTCAATGAGCAATGCATTGTTTCAAAGCCAGCTTTGGTCTGCAGCTACCACCACATATAAATTTGATATCACAAGCTCTATGTGGTCTATGGTAAGTTTATTGTACTTTTCCAGATGGCAAATTTTCATCTACTGGATTTATTTTTTTCCAAATATACATCTTTACACATGCTTTTGATATTGAAGTTGTCACCTCTATTTTCAATTGTCATGTTTAGGTTTAGGACAGTTGTCGAAACCCAAGGTCCTGCAACTTTGAGAAGGGTCTCTGCTTTCCCGCTTCTGACTCATTTTAAACATTTTAACAAACACATCACATTCAATCATCATTCTGCAACCCTTTGCAAATCTTTTAACACACACACCTTACCTCTAAACTCAAACAAATGTTTATACAAATTACAAATAGCCTATTATTAGAGGTATTCTGATTCAAATTTGTTTTGTGTGTTATTTCTTCCTTAATTAAAGAACAATAAGAGAAGAGTGATCTTTCAAAGAGAAAAAAAAAGTTTACATTTTGGGAAAATAGAAAACAAGAAAGAATGCCGTCTGATCAAATGAGATTAAAATGTAACATTCAGACCAACACCTAATTTACTGTGCGGGAATAAACCATCACTGCTCATCACCCACATGGGAATTATGGGTATAATTAGCATAATGCTGTGGAAATGCTTTCCTTTAGCAGGGTCAGGAGTGATGAAAAGACGGATGTAGATGAACACAGGACTTTTGGAGAAGAAAAGCTTTTAAGACTGAGATGTAAATCATACAAATTATGCTTTTCTGTGGTGTAGCTAATATATTTTTATGAAACCATGCAAGCTGATTTATCGCATCAAATCCTTGAAAAACAAGTTAAGGTTTATGGCTTTAACATGACAAAATGTTGAAAATACTCTCTACAATGGACCAGCAATGAATAGTTTTCACTTCCTCTGTTTTTGGGTTAAAGAAAAGCTGCAGAGCTTCACAGTTAGATGCCTGATCGAAATGCATGGTTTATAATAAAGGAATATACAGTTCTCTTACTTTATTTTTTCTGTTTACACACCCAAAAAGGTTTATCAGGGAGCCAACATGCAGGGAGACAGATGCGTGTTATCGGCCACCCTCTTCTTGTTTGGGTTAAGGCTATCAGTTCAGGCACATTTTGCTGCTTATCACCGCCCGGTTCCACTGCTTGCTACAAGTGACTCCTGTTCAACTGACATGCACTGGACTTTTACAATCCCAAAGACGTTGCAATTCCTTTAAGGTTACAATAAAGCATCTTTGGAGAACCTAGTTGATATTGACACGTCGTAAGACTGTATCCCTTAATATTGATGCTGCACTTCTGGCTTAAGTAAATTTCTAATAATACGAAAACTGAACAGACCTTACGCCCAAACATGATCGATTGACCACCAAGTTTCTATGCAAAATGTCCCTGTTTCATGTACAGATAAAAAAGATGTTACTGAATGGAAAATAAAAGCCCAATAGAAGAAATTAACCTTAAACAAATGAGTCTATAGTGGCTTCAAAATAGGTCAGGTTAAAGCAAAGATGAAAACAGCACTGCTCCGCTTTAGCAGCTCTGGGTAAATGCACTGTCCCTAAAATGGGTCATGCAAGCAAACAGTGAGATGATTGTTCATTTCAGAGGGAACATGCATGCTAGTTTTTTAAAGAAAAAAAAAACAGGTTGTGAAATTGAAAACCTGGTAGATATAACCACCATATCAGGAAGACAAGCAGATACTTTTCAAACTGCCTGTACTCTGCCTAAAGTTTTGTCAAGAAATGGCAGCAACAAATGCTTTAAAACCTACTGCATGTCTGTTCATATGGTATAAGCCCGGGACGTAAAAGAAACTGAATTATAATGATTCGATATACATTAAAATAATTGGGATCAATGTGGCAGACAGACCGAACTGTGTGGTCCTTATACATAGTATGTCAAACAGAAAATGCCGACAGACTTTTTCCTTCTTAAAACTTTATTATTACAAACTCTGGACTTTATTGATTCAACTTTATTCAGTAGGTTGCTGATGATATTAAATAAGCTGTAAGCTGTCTCTCATGACAGCATGGCACTATTTTCATAATAATTTGGCTGCTTTCAGGGTAATTATACTGATTTATAATGTATTTAGGCCCAAGGATGGAGCGAGCGATAAAGTGTGTGATGACACATGTATGCACTTTCATACATTGGCCATTTTATGCATTTCTCCCAAATGCAAACTTTCAGTATCAAGGCTGAGTAGTCTTTAGTAAATGAGGCCTCTGATGCTAAAATAATTACTTTAAAACCTGTAAACCTCTCTGAAAATAAATCAAATGAAAACTGGTTCTGGTGTCCATTGTGAAAAGCTGCTGACAGTGCACACCTACTCAGTCCAGAATGCCAAGATTTCTCAAGAGACTTAGTAAAGACAAAACATATTGCAAACAAAAATGGAATAATGGTAAATATTTAAATAACGCGTAAGCCTAGC